AAACCGGATCAGGCAGTTGAACAGTTCTCCTTTGTAGCCGTTGGGTCAGTAGATCTCGTCCCCCCATTCAGAAGAACCTGCCTTCACATGCCGAACACCGACTCGCCGAAGTTTTTTAGACCTCGGTAACCCTCAACCTGGTTTAGCCCGCCCGTCGAGTGGTTTGCCGGAGTGTAGCCGCTGGTGCATGCTTCAGCTTTGTGGAGCCACAGGTGAGAGCTGGGTGAATGGTGGAGACCAAGGAGATAGGGGATGCCCCAAGGGACACGACAGTCAACCAACTCAGAGGTGTTACTCTCAGACACCCCATACACCCCACCAAATAAGAATGGCCAACACTAATCCAATTATTCGCTCTCGGTCATTGCTCTGTCAGTCTTCGGTACAAGGATCAGCAGTATCCCCTAATCAAACTCTCCATTATTTCTCATTTCTGCTCAGACGTCTCCTGGGGCACGAATTCTTCCAATTTCGCGAGACTGTTCGAATTCCTTTTCGAGGCGACAAACTTTTACTAGTAGTCTGAGGTTTGACTGTTGCTCACATACGTGCTCCTTCCTTATTCAGTGACTCCACTGCTAACTGCAGACCGATTGCTACTAAATGTCGACGTCATCTTACCTCAAATGAATCGTTTATTTCAGCGGAAGTTCAAAAGATCCTCAGAGATCAAATCATCGAGCCATCCAATACTCCTTGGCGGGCTCAGGTCCTAATCACTACGCATGAATGCCACAGAAGACGGATGGTCATTGAATATAGCCAAGCCACCAATCGATATAACTGTCTGGACGCATATTCCATGCCGAAAATCGACAGTATAATTAAGAAGATCGCAAAGTATTCCTTGTTCAGCGCAATGGATTTGAAGAGCGCTTATCTTCACCTTCCGATCAGAGGCGATGAAAAGGTCTTCACGGCTTTCGAAGTGGGGGTGGGGGGTGTTTACCAATTTTGTCGCATCCCGTTCGGAGTGACTAACGGAGTAGCATGCTTCCAGCGAATGGTCGATGGAATAATTAAAACCGAAAAACAAGACGCAACTTTCGCATATGTCGACAATTTGAATGTCTGTGGGAACACCAAAGAAGAACACGACGACAACCTAAACAAACTAAAATGTACAGCCTTATCTTCAGTAAAAACAACTTCATAATCGGCGTCAGCCAAATACGTTTCTTGGTTTATGAAATTTTCACGTTATCCACTAGACCAGATCCCGACCGTCTTCCACCGCTGCGAAGTCTGTTACGGTTCCCGAAATTTGAAATCTCGGTGACGCGTGGTGGGACTTTTTTCGTACTGTTCAAAATGGATATCTCACTTTTCTGACAAGATCTATCCTGTGGTCAGCAACGCTAGTTCTCCTCTACCGATTGAGGTCTGCAATCCTTTTGAGGGTCTTAAGAGAGAAATTGAGGATTCCGTGGTCGTTATAATCGGTTATACTCCTCCTTTCGTTGTAGAAACGGACGTCTCAGATGTTGCCATTGCCGCAACTCTAAACCAGAACGGACTCCCGATAGGTTTTCCCCAGAACTCCAGTAGACCATGAACGACATCACTCTGCAGTGGAAAAGGAAGCGTGTGCCATCATGGAACCCATTGGGAAAGGGAGACATTATCTGTTAGGAACTCGGTTTACGCTGCTTACGAATCACAAAGTTGTCGCATTCATGTTTTGTATATCACACCAGAGCAAGACCAAGAACGACAAAATCAACGTTGGAAAATCGAACTTTCATGCTTCAGTTTCGACATACAGTATCGTCGAAGAGAGGAGAATGTGGCAGCGGACGCTTTGTCCTGTCTAGGTTACATTGCGTCATTGACGGGTCCTAACCTTCACGAATTTCATCGTTCCCTATGTCATTCCGGTGCCATCAGAGTGCTACACTTTATTCGTTCAAACAAACTTGCTGTTCTCCACAGATAAAATCAAAGCAACGATCTCCAGTTGCTGAACATCCATGGGATTAAAATCTCAATCCTTCAAGCCATCAATGGGACGAGTAGTCAGTGCCACAAAACATTTTAAAAGACTCGGCATGGATTTCAAAGGTCCACTTCCCTCAGTTTCACACAACAAGTATCTTCTGGCAATCATTGATAAGTATTTCCGCTTTTCTTTCTCCTTAGCTTGTCCAAACACATCCACATCTGTTGTTATTAACCGTCTCTGTCAACGTTTTTCATTGTTCGGCATGCCATCCTACATTCACACTGACCTCAGGTCTTCGTTCATGTCAGAGGAATTAAGCAGTTTTCTTCACGACGAACGTATGGCGACCGCCAGAACTACGCCTTACAATCCTCAAAACAATAGACCGGTGAACAGACTGGACGGTCCTCTATGGAGAATGATCACTTTAGCCCTCAAATCCAGAGATCTGGAAATTTCTCAGTGTGAAAAAGTCCTCCTCGATGCTCTTCGTTTTTTTGATCCTTACTGTGCGCGGCCACCAATGCTGCACCACATAAGCGTCTCTTCTCATACTTTTGTAAATCGGCCTCCGGCATATCACTACCAAACTATCTGTCCACTGCCGGGCCAGTATTAGTGCGCAGAAATGTCAGAACATCCAAATACGACCTGCTGGTTGATGAAGTGGAGTTAATCCATTGTCATCCAACGTGCTCTCGCGTTCGACTTCTTGATGACCATGAAGAAACAGTTTTCATTCATCTAATAGCACCAGCACCCTTTCAAAAACCCCACATTCCATTTCACATAGAAGCCCCATCAACGGTACGCCTAATGTAGTCACATAGACAAATCCACCAAATTGGTCAGAATTACCTTCTGATACTCAGGTATCTTCATTGCCCGTAGACACTCGCACAAGTTTGTTATTTTTATACGAACAGCAACAACGAATTTACCCTTACAGTCTTCTTAATCGGGATGCCTAAACAAACAATTTTATACGTATTGTAAGCTTCATTATACCGGTAAAACTAGCTGAGTATGATGTGGTATATTACTTTTTATGTCGTCAGTTGAGCTTTCAATACGGTTTTTCCGTTCCATAAATTCAGCACATGAATATCACCTCTCATACTGCATTTATTTGTCTAATAAAGCCTGATATCCAGGCCTGCTATCTTATTCTTCTCGGACGCTACGGCTCAATCGCGTAATATAACATCTACAACTAAAGCTGGAACTATAGTGCTTCTTAGCAAGCCTGTCACGGATGAAGACCAAATAAACAGCTTCTTAAAATGCGCCGCCCAATGAACTAGACGATGCTCCTGAGTTTGAATCAGTGAACTGTTAGCCTTTTTGATATATCCATTAACGCCTGGCGGTTGGACAAAAAAGGTTGCAGCTGTTGCCAATCACCGCAGCTTTTTCCATCTCCATACACTTCACAATCCACCAATGCTCACGGTCGTTTCTCAGCCTACGAGTCAGTTGGCGTTTGAGGCACCTCCTTGCCTCATCATATCTGGAATCCGAAGGAATCGAGCTGCGAGCGTCTAACGGTGCAGTTGATGGTGCGGGTATCCATCGTTTCTGTGTGTGTTTGCCTGGTTGTTGGACCTTGGGCAGCATTAGCAGCCTCAAGTAGAGCCCTCCGGATCTCTGTCTAGGGCTCTTCTGGATCCTGGACATTTGACTGCATTGATAACCTGGTGGATAATTCTGCTGGGAAAGCTAATCGACGGTTATCATCCAATAGCAGCTGCGGTGAACGGTTGGCTTTGGTGTTATTTCAGCCACTGACTAGACGTAGTCCGAAGCGCGCGCGGACAAGAGCGTGACCAGTGTCGACAAACGTGGACCAAAATGATCGACAATCTTGAATTGAGCTGCACCAGCGATAACCGATAGCATTGTGGTCGACCTGGGTCCAGCGCTGTGAGGGCGCAGGAAGACGCCAGGTTAATCGGTGCTGCTTTTCTTGCGAGGAAATTGTGCTTGGTAGGAATAGTCTCTGGTCTAAACATAGTTGAATAAGTCGGTCACTGTTATCGGTTCGATCGGCTGCAACGCAGTATCGGTCTTCCATGTTCCCCTCCATCTCGTCTAGGCTTCCAACTTGAGCATCGAAATCGCCAGCAGTAACCATGATGTCCATCAAGTGCACGCTGCCGAGCCGTCGAAACAAATCTTGGTGAGATTCGTCTTTAGCCTCAGGAGTGCTACAGTCAGTTGGAGCATACTCAAACACGACAAACAGGCGTCGAAGCTTCAGTCTAGTGCTGTTGACATGCACAGAACCATTCAACCGAACTACATACAGACGACTGCTGACTGGAATCCAGTGAAGCAGCACACGCTCAGCTTTTATGCCCAGGGCGATTCCAACGCTAGCCTGACCACGAGCACCAGACACCGAACCACCTGACACGTGAAAACTGAAACAACAAGCCGAATGTTAACACTAAAGTTGGGTCTTGTATGCGTGTTTCGGAGACACAACACACATCCGTGGTAAAAGTTTCAAGAGTTCAAGCCAGAACAGCCTGTTGTCCCGTTGTGTGAAGTGTACGGACGTTGAAAGCAGTAAAGTGAAGAGAATGCCTACACCGGAGAATCGATTCTCTTTGGGTCGTGGAAGCACGCAGGCCATCACGCCATCTCAAGGCGCAGTTTCGTCGTGATGGTAACAGTGTAACAATGTTTGAAATGCGTTTTAAGCCATCGAATTGTAAAATGTTTCAGCAGGATTGAGTTGGCTCATCTCCAAATCGTGTCTTGTCAGAGAAAGCCCCAGCTGAGGTAGATAAGGTTTGTTTGCCTGGGCAGTTACATCTCACCAGGTGAGGTAGAAAGCGAAACCAGAGCATAGAAGTGCGAGGTTGGTGATTTAAAGAACTAAATTATCCATTATGCATATAAGTGCAGAAAACGTTCCCAATTAGTATGGTCATAACGAATTAGTATTTTTCAGAACATCTATTTTTGCGGTCCTCCGTTGCCGTAATGCTTTTCGTGTGTAATGCGGAAATACTGTCTACGTATCCATTGAAATGTTTTTTCGACCTTTCAGCGTATTGCAAATCTTTATCTGTCAGTGACCCATCATGTTAGATGTCGAAGTAGTTCCAGAAATGGCGATTCGCCATAAAAATTGGGAATTTTTGCTTGGTATGCCTATTCAACAGATGATTGAAATACTGCGAAAGCAGGACTGTATCATCAAATCAGTAGACTTTTGGTATAATCACAAGGTGAGAGCCACTTTAATCTGCTTTGCTCATGTAAATATCTTTCCTTCTTGGAATCTTAGTCCCCATTCACGTCAAATTTAGCGGTGGTTCTTCCAGTTGACGGACTGAGGTTTCATTTTGATCCACTTTTGCAAAGGTTGCGGGTACGTATCGGACTCCATAGTTTTTCATGTGGATACGAATGACCTTTTTTTCTAGTTGATTGAAATCTATGATTTATCTCGAGTTACTTTGCGCTACTGGTACGTTTACTCCACCAGAAATTCCCTGAAATCGGTTCATATAGGGCACAGTATTTTAACAGCCCTTCCGTCACGCCAACTTTGCAAGAAGTACTCCGAATTTTCGGCTCTACCAAACCTCTTCGTAAGTGCATAAACTGATTTCATTTTTTTCTCGTGATCAGTGTGTTGGTCAAGTGGTCTCCTATCACTTGCGAGATATAACGTTCGAATCCCATCACCGCTGGTGGGGATGGGCAGCGCTCGGCTGTCGCTGGGTTTGTTACCACGCGCCTGACCCACTGGGATACCTAATTGTCATAATCTCAAACGTATCAGTCAGTCTTAGAAGTTACAAAACAATGACCTTCAGTTTAGGCTTTGTCATATTTGTAAGCCAGGTACAATCTTAAATGGAACGAGATAGTTAGGGCAAACAAAGCTGAAACGTGACATTCTCCTCCACTGCGGTATTTATGAATGTCTTCGAACATATAAAGCAATGGCTTACAGTTTCTTACAGACCTCGTTCGTTAGAGACGTTGAGGTATGTGGCTCAGAATAAAAGTCAGTGGCTAGAATGCTGTGCGGTCTGCCTGTTGAAATCTCGTGTTTCACGATCACAAAGGTGCCATTCAGACAGATGATAGGGAATATCGAGACGTGAACAGTGAAAACAGTCGCAATATACCGTGTCTTTTACTAGCTACTTCTTATTTTCTGTTGTACCTCCCTCCCCCCAGTTTTTGTATTTGTTATTGTTGCGTTAGTACCTTGCTTGATTCCAGGCGGGACATATGAATATATATATATATATATATATATATATATATATATATATATATATATATATATATATATATATATATATATATATAGTAAGTAGTGTGAGCACTTGCACATGCAGCCTCGTTGTCCGTTGGGTTAGCAGTGACCCAGACACGAATAACTATGAGAAATCACAGTTGTGATTCATTTGTGGGCTCTTCAATGAAGAGTATCCATTCACACTCCAGACGATTCAAATTAGATTATATATATATATATATATATATATATATATATATATATATATATATATATATTATAATCACCGAGAAACACCCCTACTCCAGAAAGCATTGTACATTACCGATATCCTCTATGAAAATTAAGGTGCTTTGTTAGTAGAATAGTGCAGTTCCGAGCTTGATGCTGGATTTTCTTCCACTTCACTTACCTCGGCAGCAGCATGACAACGGATGTGAACACAGGATGGTCGGGGTTGGGTGTCTCAGGCTCCGAGTTGGCGAGTCGTCCTAAACGCCTCTCGAAATGCTCCCAAATGACCGCGCATCTCAAATAGCTTCTGCTAAAGAAGTCTTACACATTACCTCTTCCGGTGGGGATGTTTTTACAAGTGTGAGGAGAAAAACGAACGCCCGGCTCTCTACGCCGGGTTGACTGACTAATAGTCAGTCTAGGGTAGATGGTTGACCCTGATTCCAAGCCAACCATGTGTGGCGTATGAGGTGTACAACACTATGCTCATCAGCATCTATGGCGGACGGGTGCACTGGACACCCAGGGTGTTTGGCTTCATCTGAAGCGTCTATGAACTGAGTAATCGTTCACGGGCTCCCGGGGTTCCTGGAAGAGGCGAATGAACCACGCAATTGACCACCGGCTCATCTAGACCAACGTTGCCGCCCTGCAAGACGCGTTTATCTGAGCAGAGACTAGGGGTGCATCCTCTAAATGAAATGCCTGCGCTGGACCTGGCAACCGAGTAGTACAGTAGCCCACAATGCTAATAATAATACAACCGACGGTATTCTTGCAAAACGTTGGTAATGCCCTTCGAAGAAGTGCCAGCACTGACGCTTCCACACCGTATACACATGTTTATTTCTCTGCTTCTACACCTCATCCCTCACACACATTTTCATATTCTTCGGGAACTGCAGTCAGCCGTACTTGCGGTGTCTCTGAAGGAAGTCCTGTTCCTGTTCTCTCTCGTATCCTCTTTCGTCTAGTATCCGAATCTCGGAATCCGGTTGCTCCAGCTGAAGCTCTTTTTCGCCCCTGGAGTACTTTTAGACTGATGTGTATAGGGCACTATATATGTTTAGCTCGAACGCTGGCGGCACCTGCCATCGACGTGTTGTATCTAAGGTACTCGCATCCAAGGCTCCGGCTTGGTCGTTCGATTGATGTCCTCATCCAATTCTTCTGCAAAGGTTCACTTGCGTTTGTCTGGGGACCCTGAGGTCTTCGACACCGTCTGAACCTTCAAAATGTAAAATGCTGCTGCAGGACTGAGTTGGCGCTACACAAAACTTCTTGGCAGGGTACGCTTTAGCTGAAGTAGATAAATTTTGGTATCTGAGCATTTAAATCCTACCACGTGGACAGACATCGGATGAAGTGTCATCGCGTATACAGAAGGCGCGTTTGGCTTTTGCCAACCTCAGCCATTTGTGGTGTCTGTGTAACATCCGGTTGTCCATCAACAGTCGAGCGTACAATACAACGCTTAGATCCGTTTTTCTGCACGGCTCAAAAACATGGCCGATAAGGGTAGAAAATAGACAAAAACTGTCGGTGTTCGAGCATTAGTGTCTCCGTAGCATTGCCCGAATTTAGTGGGAACACCGTATTAGCAATGCTGAGATGAGACGTAAGGTGTTGGGAACCAAGGATCAGTCTTTAGATCAGGTATGGAATCTAAACAGGTTAAGATGGCTGGGACATGTGTTACGTATGCCCACCGATAGACTTCCTCGGCGTACGCTGTTCTCCGAGGCAAGCAATGGTTGGAATTTAGGTCGAGGTGGTCAGTGTATGACATGGCAAAACGGTGTGAAGGCCTTGACCAACGGACTTGGCCGAGTAGGACGTGTTAGACTTCCGAGTTGGAGTCCACGTGATCTGCCTACCAAATGGTTGGAGACATTAGGTGATGCGGCCAGGTTTCGCGACGAGTGGCGTAGTTGCATTCGGGATCCTTCCTTATCATTTCGTGATTTTCACTCATTACTTTGATTTTTGGATCTTTTTCACTGCATGCTCGTATTCTTCGTACCATTGAATTAACGATGCATTAAGATAGCAATCAGAACCAGAGCTTAGAAGTGCGAGGTTAGTGGTTGTATAAATTGAACTAAACGGGACGTCGCTGAAGACTGAGGATAGAGCAACTGTCATCTTCACAGATCGTTTCACTCACACCCAAAGTTTTCCCAACGGTGACTCGGAGGGGATGAAACAACTTGTGGGAAATTCCCGTGGCGGCAGCATGTTCCATCTCTGATGGTTTTTGGGACCACTTGATTTCGCAATCCCTAAGCAGACTTGCGTTGAGTTCACGTCTCGTTGTGAGATGTGGTTCATTGTGCTCCCTGCCAGCCGGGATGAACTGGCGTGCATCGAAAAACCGTAAAAGTCAGCAGAAATCCAGGGTGTCCCGAGACAACGGGTCAGACCACAACTCACTGTGCCAGCAAAATACAAAGCATCCTAAATAAGCGATCAGTACGGGTGATGTTATCTGGTGGCGTTGAACCTAACCTGTAGCTAGAGTGTTTCGGAAAGTTGAAAGGCAAAACGGATCACACAGCATGTCGTGGTCTAACCGCTCATGCATCCTAGGTTTGGCACGCCCCCCGAAGCACATGAACAGCTTAGTGCAAACTAACGCATGGTCGAGGTCAAGGGGAGTGCTCTGGTACGACCGGCAGTCTTGAATGCAGCCCCGCCATAAGCATCCAATTGTGACGTGGTCTATCTGGGTCCATTGCTGACTCGAAGAGGATGAACGCCACGTGGCATACCGGCGATTAGGATGCCTGAATTTTGTACGGACGCGAAACAGATGGTGATTTTAATACAGAGTCAACAACCGTTCTCAGTTCTCTGAACAACAGGTATCAAGACCAGAAGCGCTTCCCAAATGCACCTCATTCGAAGACAGCTGACCTACCCTAGCATTCATATTTCCACCAAAAATCACGATACCACTTCGTTTTGCTTCATGTAGGATGTCGTGTAACTCTTAGTAGAAGATATATTTGATTGCATCTGGGCTGAAGTTGTAGGGGGCCTAAGCCGAGCTGACAAACAAATAACGTCTATCGGGACGGCGTTTGCTTACTTTTCACGGACCTTCAAGTCTCACTGCGCACAACCGACTGTCAACTGGTATCCGATCAAGTAGCGCAGCCTCAATCCTCTCACCAAGAGCTACACCTGCGTCATCAAGACTGGCAGCCGCAGCCGCACGGTCCCCAGACAAACGCAAGTGAACCTTTGCAGAAGGATCGGATGAGGGCATCAATCGAACAACCAAGCCGGAGTCTTGGATGCGAGTTCCTTAGATACAACACGTCGATGGCAGGCGTCGCCAGCGTTCGAGCTAAGCACACCTGTTGCCCTGAACTGAACTGAACTTCGACTTAGTCAGTGTATTTGGACTAGGGCACTTTTTTCAGGAATGTTTGCCTGGGATGTATGCGTCGGTTCTTAAAGCGGTGTATCGTCGTGCCTCAGGTTGCGTTAGGGCTTACGATCTGCTTTTATCACTCTCTGCTGTGTCCAGTGGAGTACGACAAGGCTGCCCTCTATCTTCGTTTCTTTTCAGCCTTTCCGTAGAGGGTGTTCTACAGCACGCTGTTTCTGATCTTCCAAACGGGTTAAACTTCACCCAAGGAACAGACTTCTTGACTTAGACTACGCCGATGACGTCGCCTTGCTGAGCGACAGTGCACAGGCATTTCAGCACGCATTAGATTGCTTGGCGACACGGTATGTGCTTTGTGCCTTCACAGTACAAGGTACTTCTTCAAGACTGGCAGGAGCCTGTGCCTGCGCTCACCCTTTGTGGTGATTGGTTAGGAATATTCGATAACTTTAAGTACCTCAGAAGCATCACCATAGCTGGTGGTGGTGTTGGGGAAGAGATCACATCACGAATTGCGAGAGCCAGGGCGACTTTCGTTATCTGTGGCGCCGCCATGACATCCGGCTTTCCCTCAATGGAAGGGTGTACAATACGGTACCGCAGTTCGTAGTGTCCCTTTTTACGGTTGCGAGACCTAGCTCCTCCGTGTTGAGGATGCTGGGCGGCTTTCTGCATTCGCCCACCGATGTCTGCGAAGTATTACTTAT